CCTGGCAAAACATAAATTGCTAATACATTTTGTAAGAAAATTTTGATTTGTTAACTTTTAGATGGAATTGAGATGCATTATGCCGAATCAAATTCTAAGTTAGTAGGTAATTATTGAAATATGTAAATAGTTGGAGTTGGAACGAATGCAGTAATCAAATGCATTGTTTAAAATCTCATAGTTTACTAGGAAGGTTTCCTTATTTTATGTGTTTGATTTCAATTGAAACTTTCTTTATTCTTCCCTTCATGCTTTTGTTTAGTTTCTTCGTATGGCAATAGATAGATTCCGTATCTAGGGATCCTTCGATGCACTGCCTATAAATTAAACAATGCACCAGGGTTTTTCTCATTGAAGTCCAATTTAAGGGTTTGTCAAGTTTTTCTCACTTAGTTCCAACTATGGGGCTGTCAAAAATTGTAGCAATTTTCTTCTGGATTTTGGCTACTTTGGGTAGTTCCATGGCTGAAAATTACCACGGTATATGGAGCATCAATGTTACCAAGTCGACTTCCATGAAGAAGGTTGAAGTAGGTGACAATCACGGTAAGTATGTGAGAATGTGTATACAATAATAGGATTAATATTCTTTTACATAAATTTATTGTGTAAAACTTTTTTCACATAACCACCATAACATAATTTTCTTGTTTGATTATTCAACTTGACTTTAAATTCTGATTTCATGTAATCAGTTTTTTTTTTTTAAATAATGTTTACGTTTCTTTTTTTTTCATCTTGATTTCAAAATTTTTTAATGGCCAAAAAAAAAAAAAACTAAAATTTAGATTCTAGGCAAGAGTAACTTTAGTTGATTGTGATTTTTTTTCCCTCTAAAATCACCATCCATCATCAACCTTTTTTTTTTTTCCTTTTTTTTTTTTTTGGAAAATTTACAACAAACAAGAACGGGCCCTTAATTCTGACTGTGTAACATATATATGCAGTTATCAAGAATGGTCCAAGTTCAGACACTGCAATATTGCAAGAGAAGAAAGATGATTACGAGTCCTACAAACCATCACCGCCAATTGCCTCCTACAATGACAAGAACAATTCTGCAAATTATTCATCTGATGGAGAAAATTATTTCACCAGTCGTAAGGATCATGATGATGATGATGATGATAACCAAGACGAAGACGACCACAAACACAAGCACGATAAAGATCACAAAGGTCAGATGTGTTCTTGTTCTTGTGGTGCCCCATCAATTCCTGATGCTCCTATGATTCCTAATGCTCCATCAATCCCAACTTCTGACTGTTCTACGAAGGACACGCTTGGGCTAACATTTATTCTTGTTGGTCTTTTATGTTTCCTCTAATTTTGGAGGATCTCTGGAAAGAAACAGACTAGTCGTTAAGAAGTTTGTGAGCCAGTACTATCTACCTAATAGGTGTGAATTAGATGAAGCAGTACAAGTCCACTCCATAAAAAAAGTTGAAGTTTATATAGTTGTTATTCTATTTTTATGGGCTGGTGGGTCGTAGTTCTTGATGTTATTGGTTGTTCTTGATGCTATTTTGATTCCAATATAGCAGTAATTATATATTTACGTATGGCCTTTTCTATTCTGTGGCTACTTGAATTACAATTAGCAGTGTGGCTATAAGATATTAAACATGTGATTGTGTCGAATGGCACATGATAAGCACACTAAGAAAAGGGAATAGATTTACTATAAAATTTTAATATTATCGTGCACGTGTATACTCTAGTATTATTTATGCTTTTACAGATAACATAACATCGGATCCACTTTGTATCTTGTGTTAGAAGAATCATGAATATACTTTAATTATAGAATTTTTGTCTTTGAATACATTTTTTTTCTTCGAATGTATAAGTAAGTCTTAAAAACTTGCAGCAATAAGTTTGTAAGAGACCAATTGTGAGATGGTTCAAATTTGGTTAACTCTACGTCTCTATTTTTGTCCCCATTTCTTTTCTTTTCTTTTCTTTTTAACCTTTTTCCTTTTTGTTTCCCCTGCTCTTTCTTTGTCCTGCTTTGAATCTAACTCACAAACCATAAAAATAAGAACATATTTTACTACCCACAAATTATGTCAAGATTTTATTAATTACTTGTTTGGCATCTTTACGTCAATGTTCTAAAAATCTGATGCCAAGAAAGCAGGCTACCTTTTTCCAATGGTTTGCATTTTTTAAAAGTTATTTCTATTTACCAAATAGGCACACAAAAAAAAGGAAGGTGAGTCCACTCTTCAATCTTCAGAATTACTACCCACCCCCATAATTGCATCACTTTCACAACCAAAATTTGCCCTTTTCTTAAAAAAAAAAAAAAAAAAAAAAACTAACACTGACTTACTTCTTATTTGGTGTCTTCAAATAGACAAATCCTTTTTTTAAATCAGAGCTTAGACTCAAGTCAAGAATACAATACTCAAATCTTGATCAAAGGTTTTTTTTTTTTGTTTTTTTTCTTGTGCTTCAGTTGCAATTTTTCTACCTCAGATGACGATTGAAAAGGGCTATGGGAGTTAAATAGTAAATTGAGAAATGCAAATAATAAATTACTTCAATCCTATTTTCTTGTAATCAACTGGCTAATCCAGTGATGCAGAAAGCATGCAGTAAAGATCAAGAATCCTTAACTCCGGAATTGCAAGATAATGGAGCAACAATTCGTAAGCATAAGAAGTTATTGTATTGATGATGAATGGATAGAGAAATGTACAAAAATGAATGAGGAATTCTTATTACAATCCAGATCATCCTTTTCCTTCTCCTATTTATACAGCCATTGAGGCGGTGGCCATTTTCCTGACTAACTAATGGTGTCAGCAACCTATAATATGCTAACTATGTAACAAACTAATTGACAGCTCAGCACTGGTAGTTATTCAAAATTACAGATTACCCTTGACTAATTTTGTTAACCATTTTCACGTGCATCAATTGCCCCTCCTTAGAAAGTCCTTGTCCTCAAGGACTGAAATGAGGGAATTGTCGCCGAAGATCTTGCAAACACTCCCAAGTAGAATCCTCTGGAAAACAATTACTCCATTGAACCAGAGCTTGTGTTGCTGCAGTTCGACCCCTTCTTGCTCTACGTCTGTCTAGAATTGCTAAATGCTCTATCATAAGTTGTCCCTGATTTGTCACTCCAACAGGTATATGAGATTGAACTGGAACTGACCCCACCTTCTTTTTTAACATAGAAACATGGAAAGTGTGATGAATCCGAACATGAGCTGGAAGTTTCAATTTGTAAGCAATTGATCCCACCTTACTTCTATTAGGAAAGGCCCAAAATAACGAGGAGCTAGTTTCTGACAATGGTGAGCTCGTAAAGAATGCTGCTTGTATGGTTGCAATTTAACATAAATCCAGTCAACAATGTTGAACTACTTATCAGTCCTATGCTTATCTGCTAGTTGCATCATCCTATGTTGGGCTTTAGCCAAATTTTGCTTAAGCTGATGTATCAGCATCTCTCTAGCCATAAGGCTTCTATCTACTGATTCAACTGTAGCTGCTTTAGGTAGGTATGGTACATGAATGGTTGGTGCCTGATCATAGACCACTTCATAGGGGGTGAATTTGGTACAGGTGTGAAAGTTGGTGTTGTACCAATATTTTGCAAAAGTTAACCGCAGGCTCCACTGCATAGGTTGATCACTGGTCATACATCTTAGGTATTGCTCGAGACATCTGTTTAACCGCCTCAGTTTGTCCATCACTTTGAGGGTGATATGAAGTAGACATGTGTAACTGCACCTGCTGAAGCTTGAAAAGCTCCTGCCAAAAATTGCTAAGAAATGTAGTATCCTTGTCACTCACAATGGACTGGGGCATACCATGCAAACGATAAATCTGATCCAAGAACAGCTGAGCCACAGTGATAGCTGAATATGGATGAGCTAAAGCCAAGAAATGTGCATATTTGCTAAGCCTTTCCACCACCAATAAAATGACATTTTTTTTTCCCTTGGATAAGGGCAAACCTTCAATGAAATTCATGAAAATATCTGTCCAAACCTTGTGTAGAATGGGTAGTGGTTGCAAAAGACCAGAATAAGAAGAATTCTTTAGTTTGGATCTCTGATAGATATCACAAGCTACAGGAAAGTTGGCAACATCACTGAACAAATGTTTCCAATAGACCACACTTTTCAGTCTTTTATAAGTCACTTCCACTTCTGAATGACCACCTTGTGCACTAGAATGCCATAATTCGATCAATTTATGCCTCAAGGCTAAATCATCTCCAATTACCAACTTGCCCTTCCTCTTAAGAAACTCCTGACTCCATGTATATTGCCTATGGCACTGGTGCCCTACAAACAAATTCTGAATAATATCATGCAGTTGCTTATCATTCTGCCAGCTATTTTGGATATCAACAATCAAAGAGGAAGTAAAGGTGACCAAGGAATGCAACTGTCCTTTTGCATAAGGTCTCCTGGACAAGACATCTACAACAATGTTGTCATTGCCCCTTTGTACTGCACTGCATAATCATATTCCATCGGCTTAGGTATCTATTTCTGTTGTAAAGGGGTGTGAATCCTCTGTTCCAGAATGTACTTAAGGCTCTGATGATTAGTTCTGACTATAAAATGTCTGCCAACCAAATAAGCCCTCCATTTCTGTATAGCAGTCACCGCTGCTAGCATTTCTTTTTCGTACACAGATAAGGTCTGATGAGTTGGAGACAGTTCCTTGCTAAAGAAAGCAACAGGTCTTTTCCCTTGCACTAGGATTGCCCCAATCCCAGTTCTTGATGCATCAGTCTCAACAGTGAACACTTGATTAAAATCTAGCAATGCCAGTACAAGTGGATTACTCATGGCTTGCTGCAATTACTGAAAAGCCTATGTTGCTGCATTACTCCACTGAAATTGGTTCTTCTTAAGTAACTCAGTCAAAGGCCTGGTGATTCTCCCATAATGTTGCACAAAACTTTTGTAATACCCTGTGAGGCCCAGAAAACCCCTTAGTTCCTTGACATTCTGAGGTATAGGCCAAGATTAGATAGCTGCTATCTTTTGGAGATCTGCCTGTACTCCTTCTGAAGTAATCACATGTCCCAAGTAATTAACTTGCTGTTTTGCAAAAGCACACTTACTCAATTTAACCTTTAAAGTATTAGCTCTCAAGGTTTCAAAAACCTTCCTGAGATGTATCATATAATCCGCCCATGTTTGACTATATATCAATATATCATCAAAGAAGACTAGCAAGAATTTTTTGAGAAAGGGCTTGAAAACATCATTCATGAGATTCTGGAAAGAAGAGGGAGCATTTGTGAGACCAAATGGCATAACTAGGAATTCATAATGACCATCATGAGTCTTGAAAGCTATCTTATGAATATCTTCTGGGCACATTCTAATTCGATGATAACTAGATCTAAGATCTAGTTTAGAAAAATATTTAGCACCAATCAACTCATCCAGCAATTCTTTACTCAGCGGAATTGGGAATTTGTTCTTGGTAGTAGCTTGGTTCAGTGTCCTATAATCAATACACATCCTCCATGAGCCATCATTCTTCTTAACCAGCACAACAGGTGATGAATAAGGGCTTGAGCTTGGCCTGATAATGCCACTTTCAAGCATCTCAGTAACCAATCTTTCTATTTCCCCCTTCTAAAAGATTGGATACCTATAAGGTCTGACACTAATAGGGTGAGTGCCTTCCTTGAGAGGTATTCTATGATCATGTAGCCTTTTTGGTGGCAATTCTGTGGGTTCTTGGAACAAATCATCATATTCCTTTAGCAACTGATCTAATGCAGAACCTTCTTGTGTCTGATCACCTTTATGTGTAGCAGTTACAGTAAGAATTTCAGCATTTTCTTTAGTGTGATCAACAACTGCCCTGATCAGGCATAGTTGGCTAGCAGCAATTTGTGAAGGTTTTTGCAAAACTTGCTGCATTTTTTCTTCTTGATCAACTGCAATCCCAATTGCTTGATTCCCCTCAACACTACTCTGTGACCATTCTGCAGGAATTCCATTTTGAGTTCTCCAAAATTCCACTTAACATCTCCAATAATGGTCAACCACTGAATTCCCAGAACCACTTCACACCTTCCCACTGATAGTACCAGTAGATCAGTTTTGAACTCTTGTCCTTGCATTTTCTAGACAAAAGTTGGGACACAATTCATGAGTGGTAAGCTTATTTCCATCCGCAACCTACACCACCAAAGGTTTACCTTCTGTACTTTTAACCCCAACCTCTGTATCACATTAGGGTGGATGAAGTTATGAGAACTACCAGAGTCAATGTGTATATTCACTAATTGTTTGCCCACATGGCCTGTGATCATCATAATTCTGAAATTTGGGACTGCCATGCTAGTCATAACATTGATTGAAATGTGTGCCAAATTTCCTCCCCTAGCTTCTCTATCATCAACTTCCTCTTCCACGGACTCATCCCCCCTTTCTTCATAAACATCCCCCTGGTCATCCCAAATCTCCAATCTATGGAACTGTTTATTACCACATCTATGCCCCATGCCAAATTTTTCATCACACCAAAAACATAATCCCTTAGCCCCTTTATTATCCATTTCTGCTCGAGTTAGCCTTCTGTGAGGTCTTTTTTCCAACTCCTCATTACCCTTCCCAATACTAGGCAGAGCAGGTACAGAAGAGGTAGGCAATAGGGGCCAAGCATTCTTCCTCCATTGGTGATTAGAAGTCCCAGCATGACTATTATTCTTCCAATAATGGCTAGAATTATAGGTTTGATGCGTATTGCTAACAAGATCTGAGAGATTAGGAGATACCTTCTTGTTCACTTTGGCTTTCTATTGCATAATTAGCCTTGCCTCCTCTATCTTTGCAAGCGCTGACGAGGTTAAAATTTACCAATTAAATCAACTCACAAGTTATAACCTAATACCTCGTTTTGCTGCAAGTATACAGATCGAAATATAGTATAGCAAAGGTACAAGGGTCGAATCCCACAGGGAGCAACTTAACAAATACCAGAGTTTTAAACCTTATCTTATTATCTAAACTTTTCAAATTATGTGTTGATCAAAGAATTAAAAACAGATTAAGTGCATGAATCCCAACTAACAAATATGTCAAAAGAAAAGATGTTCTAGGGGAATTAAATCCACTAGCTAGTAAAGATCAGATTTGCCATGTACTTTGTAGTCACAATTCACTCTTGTCTTGGTAGGGAACATTTCCAAATGTATACTTATCTCACTGTTGTGCAGAAAAGCTTTGTCACGATCACTAGGTTCCACCTACTGTCGTGGTGAAAATCAACCAGTGATGATCTTAGGCCTTTGTGAAATATTATGAAAAACCCTTCTAGTGATTCACTACTGTCGTGTGTTTCATGCTAGAATTCAATTAATCTTCTTTCCATTATTGTTTACCACTGTCGTGCGATCACAATAACTGATATAATTTGCAAAAGATGATCAAGCTTTAACAAATGTGAAAGTCAAGATTAATGAATTACCAAGAACAAGGTTAGTGAAAACTAGCAGCATACAAATCCAAATCTTGCACCAACCAGTTTCATCTACCCGTAGAACAAAGGATAGATCTAGCTAGTTAGACATGATTATCAAAATACTCCAACTTCTAATAAAGTAGAAGAAGAGTTAGAAATGAAGGAAAAATGGAAGAGAAAGCTCATATGCAAAACTGACCATAGAAAAGCAATTAAAACCAATCCGATTAGGGTGGTAGAACCGACCCTAAGTGGTGGTAGATAAAAGCTTAATTCAATTACAGAATAAACAAACTCTCCAACTCTTTAAGCACTCAAGCTTTGATAATCAAACCAGCAAGAAGTGTATTTATAAAGATAAAAACTAGAACAAGGTGTTTAGAAATATGAAAACTAATATCTAACAGAGCTAAAAACGAAACTAGCTCAAAGAGCTTTATTGAATCTGAAAACTAATCTATTCTAAGCTCTCTATCTACTAACAAAGGTTGGCCAAAAAAAATCCCCATTGTTCTTGAATTGTAAGGGGTATTTATAGGTGTTTGGATGAGTTTAAGACAAAACTTAAATTATCATCCATGACCTCATTGCTTAATTATTGTCAAGAATCTTCAAAATCGCAGCTGCAAATTCAACTAAAATACACAAAAAGTTTTCAAGAAAAGTTGCACATGTATCAAAGTCAGGATTTGCTGCTGGAATTTCTTTTTGACAGATTGCATGAATTATTTCTCCATGAAAACGGCAGAATCTACTCTTGTGCTAGTCTTGAAAGTCGTACCTCTTTGAATTATCTTTCCATAGCATCAAGAATCATCCCATTTGGACTTTTGTAGGCTGAGATATGGTCAAAATACCATCCTCTGGTCAAACCCCTGTTTCAATTTCCGACCACAGAATGCAGCTTCTGTATTTCGACTTTTTGTCTATGAAAACAGCAGAATTATATTTCGATGTCTTCATACCAATTGTAGGTCTCTTTCTTAGCTTTAAAATGGTATAAAGATCACCTCAATCCGATAAGTATAGCTCCAGATATAGCCAAAATACCGAAGAATGTCAAAACTGTCTTGACTTGCATTTTCTCACTTGAACATTTTTCACTTCATTTCTCTTTTCTACCACTTGAATTCATCACCAATTATCTACTTTTCACCTCATTTGACATCTTTTGGTGATTGGATCATTAACCTGCAAGAAAATGAAGTTTTTACCATTAAAATCAATAGAAATGCAATATTATCCACTTTTACCAAAAATATATAATTTTACCAAAAACCTCTTTATTTTAATTATAAAACTAAATAATCAACTGAAAATTAACTAATAAAATGCACTTAAAAATACGTAAAATAAACTCTTATCAAGCGCCCTCACATGAGCCACGTTCTTAGGCATGAACATCCTAACAGTCAGCTGAATTTCTGGTTTTAATCCACTTAAGAAGTAGCTTGTTGCATAATCTTCAGGTAAATCTAACGTATTGAGTAACTCTTCAAATTGTTCTTGGTACTCTAACATAGTACCAGTCTGTTTTAATCCCTTTAGTTCTCCCATTGTGTCATCATATAGATAATCTCCAAATCTTGCGGATAATTCTCTGATATACTCCTCCGACGAAGGTGCCTCTCGAGCCAACCTGGACTTCCATGTAAACTTGGTACCATTGAAGAGCCGTACCCTCCAAATTCACAGCTGCCATTTTAACCTTCAAAGCAGGTGGAGTTTCATCTACCTCAAAGAACTGCTTGCTCTTATACAGCCAACCTCTGAAATATTCCCCGTTGAATTTGGGGAAATCCATTCTAGAAAATCGTGTTGGAATCTGATAGTTACCTCCATTAACCCCAAGAGACCCAGAATTTTAAGGAGAAGAATTCATGTGATCCAGATTAACCACCAGGTTCCTTAGTGCTGTCATTTCCGTCTCAAGTTGATCTTGTTGCTCCCTCAACATGGCCTTTATGTGCTCTTCAAGTTTTCTGTTATCATGTGATCTATTGCCTTCTACCATCTCTGACCTCTGAGCTAGATAACCCCGCTTTAATACCATTGATGCAAAAAGCAGTAAAGATCAAGAATCCTTAACTCAGGAATTGCAAGATAATGGAGCAACAATTCGTAAGCATAAGGAGTTATTGTATTGATGATGAATGGATAGAGAAATGTACAAAAATGAATGAGGAATTCTTGTTACAATCCAGATCATCCTTTTCCTTCTCCTATTGCTTCCATTTATACAGCCATTGAGGCGGTGGCCATTTTCCTAACTAATTAATGATGTCAGCAACCTGTAACATGCTAACTACGTAACAAACTAATTGACATCTCAGCACTGGTAGTTATTCAAAATTACAGATTACCCTTGACTAATTTTGTTAACCATTTTCCCATGCATCATGCAAGAACATTGGCATTACTTCCCGAAGAGGCTAAGTAATATCTTAAATTTCACAGCAATTTTTAAATTCACTCCTAGGAATTTAGTTGCAACTTTCTAAGTAACAATTCTACATTCATGTGATATAGGAATTTATTAAGCCTCACCCATATCCCAAAGTTGCAGGGCCAGTGCAGTTGTGATTTGGGCTGTGCGGTGTTATGTTTATTCTATTATTTCATGTATAATTATATTTATCATTGTATCTTAAAAGAACATGAGTATATATAAATAAAATATTTTACATATATTTAATACAACAATATGATATAATTAAAGATAAAAAAAAGGGTTTGAGTCAAAGAATCACGTTATCGTTTTAATACTTAAATAGGGGTTTTTATAAAGGCAATATACGCCTTATAGTATAGTGATAAATTCTACCCTTAATTGATGACGCTTCTATCATGTCACGCAATATTATTGGTGAGCATATTATAGTCTCTAAAATTTTCTCCAAGTTTTCATTAATTATTCAATATTATTTCTTTTACTAAACAAATTAAATTAGTTTGTTAACCATAACTGTATATGGGACCAAATTGAACGACACCTCAAAATTAAGTTATATGTTCTTTTACTTTCATATGTCACTATTTTTGTAGATAGTTCTGCAGCAAATGCAAGGGGAGCAATTAGAAGGAATTGAGAGGCAAGAAATGTTGCAAACTGCACAGAGTCTTCCTAATTTGTGCCGAATCAAAAAAGCACAGCCTTGTAATGTACCTACCATCTTTGGCTTCATTTTAGGGCACTTCTATGCAAAATAGTCTAATGCAAAATAATCAAGTACTAAAATTCACCGCTTTAATTTGACATTAGAGATTTTGGTGACACGAGACATGAAATAAACAATTCTTATGTGTATTTACATGAGAATTTGAACTAGTTAGCATCTTAATGGTGCAATATCACGTAAGAATTATTTGGTTACATTGTCATCTTTTCATTTCTTTTCCTTTACTTTTTCTTGAAGGCCCAAGTGCTTGTTTTCTTGCTGTTCATTTGAAATTATATATCACATAGAAAAATTGATGCATGCCCACTATTACCTCTGCCTGCAGTGAAGTTTCAAATTTCGGAAGTAGCCACAACAATAACAACCCTAGCCATTTAATGAAGAGATAATAAGGCCTTAAGCTTGTTTTTGGTCCCTCTAACCAAAAAAAAAAAAAAAAAAAAAAAAAAAAACCATGTTCGAGCCTTAACAGCCCTAAACACTTCTTAAGCTCCTCTTAGTATTTAGTAAAGCCCTTGCATGGGCAAGAATTAGTGTACATTTAGGGGGTGAGGAAGTCCACTGCAAACAGGTCCCCTCTTGCACCAAAATCATACAAGAGATTGCAATAGTGTTTTAAAACTCAGTTTGAACCGGCCAATGAGACCGGTTAAACCTTCAACTATAAAACTTGTTTGAACCGGCCAATGAGACTAGTTAAACCTTCAACCATTTTGCTTTCCGGTTCATTGCAGTCCCTTAAATTCACTTGTGTCTGTTTATTTACGTAGAATCCGAAAAAAAAAGAAGAGCCAGTTCAACTGTTAAAATTCACTTTTGTAATGTGTTTATTTAGCTAAATTTATAAAATAAAATAAAAAAAAGAAGAGAACCAGTTCAACCATCAAACTGCTTAACCAGAAAAATTTTAGATGAACCAATCAGTTTATTTCTTTAAGACTGCAATTTAACCAAAATAATTGAAGTCAATCCAACTTTATATTCTACCGCTTAGCAACTTTATGGGTTAATTCTTTTGGTCACCATCTCGAACACTAGCCAGCTGAAGCAAGTTATACGCATAAGTTGTTTTTCTTTTCTTTTTTGGGACAGGAATTCAAAATCTGTAAAGCAAATATGATGCCCTCAACCAATATCAGATGAACCAAGAATTCAAGGACGAGAAATCATTTTTCCAAACCACAAGAACTAATAGCAACTGTTCGAAAGTCATTTTTCCTCCAAATTTCCAGAATCAAATGTCATTACAGCTTCCGGGCACGAGCAGCAGCTTTTTCTAATGCCTTCAGTCTGTTAGCTTCCATGCGAGTTCGCTGTTCTTCTGAGAGCATAGTTCCATTAGAACTGGAAGACGTTTTTCTGGGTGCCATTGTTGGTGTCTCTTTATCTCCATGAGATGCTTCAGCTTCAACTATCTTGTCATCTGAAGGCTTAGATGGTTCCTGTCCAGTTTTTCCTAATGCCTTCAGTCTGTTAGCTTCCATACGAGCTCGCTGTTCTTCTGAGAGCATAGTTCCATTAGAATTGGAAGACGTTTCTCCAGGTGCCATTTTTGGTGTCTCATTATCTGCATGAGATGCACCAGCTTCAACAATCTTGTCATCTGAAGGCTTAAATGGTTCCTGTCCATACAGAGGTTGAAACAGTAGGGTAAAAGTTTAAAGCATTTTAAACTTGATTAATATGGTTGTTTTCAAAAGGAAATTTAATCCCATCCCATCTTACAACATGCAATATTAGGTGCTTCTGTCATCCTACTTTTGATACAATCACTTGATCCAGTAACACTTAACAGCCTACAGCAACCATTTCCTTAACCAACACTGACAGGTCTAAAAATTACTGAAAAGACAAATGTAAAGAGATGATAATTAAGCTTCAGCCACCCGAGGCAAGTTCAAAGCTGAAACAAGTGCTTCCACCTTAAGCATGATAATATTTCTATTAAAAATTCTTAGCATTATGTAATCATAATCACCATTAACTCTTCAATTCTACTTATTACCATGTAGTCCATGTCTACAATCAGTAATTTCATCCGAATATAAGCACCATATCACTGTTCAGAATATCTTTACTTCCCACAGAATATTCTACTTTTTTCATAACCGGGCATTGGAATAGCTGAAATTACCAGTAGTCATTGTAGCCTGAAAAGAGCTTTCCCGGACAAAGATTACAACTGCTGTTCTCAATTCATATACGAATTCGCTTTACATGACACTTCGAAATTGAGCAAGTTTTCAAGACAACAACACAGAAGTCAGTCTCGGATAATTATTTTAATATTTAGCCTGTAAATCCTAGGACTTCAAAATTTTAAGCCAGCTTAAACTAAAAAGTCTTCAGAAACATGTTAAGCATGTCGAATAACAGAGACTTATATTAGACTTCAGCCGGTTGAGTGGCAGTGAGGTCTCCAGATCTTTCCTATGCATTTCATTTGTTTGCAAATACAATACTTTTACTCTCAGCCTCACTGATGATTGGTATAGCGGTGCTACCATCCATCAATTTCTGCACAGGAATGAACGATGGCCCATTTTGAGGAATTACCATTTATGACAGAAATTTGTCTCTCATCTGGGATGTCTGGCCTACGGTTCCAAAGATATTTTCATAACTCTTGACCACATTTCCAGTGATCGAACTCATAGGGAATTGAATCTCAAATGAGGGGAACGTAGTATTGGTGAGTTCTCTTGTGGATACCTCAAACTGGTGATCTTCAAATACAGGCCTCAGTTTGAAAGTCCATTTTTCCCTTCTATTTTGATCCAGTGACACAAGTTCACGCTGTTTTCTCGGGTTTTCTATCTTTCAGGATGTCATGTCGCTGTTCATTGAAAATCCCAAATGCTTAATTCCTTTGATGATGAATAGATCTTTATCAGCTTAACTTAGACGCTTTCAGGTTCGTACATCTATATATCTATAACTTTAAGACCATCTAGGATGTGAATACTATGACAGTGAAATTCAAATTTCTTGCACTTTTCTTCACTAAGAGCATGCCAAACCAGAGATTAAGAGCACCAGAACAAAGCATGATGATCAACTGTGCTCTAGTAGTTAGACTACCTATACCTCCTTTTCATTCCAAATAAAAGACTGAACTTTGGAGATGGGGCTGAGATACAAAATCTAGTCTGAACATAGGAAATTTTAGGTGTTATGGTTTCAAGTATTCACATCTTTAACGAAGCATCAAGTAAATATAGCACATAAAACTTTATATTTACCTTAAACCTTGTGATGAATTGGCAACTTTAAGATGTGTAATTGCTGAATGGAACAAAGGGTGAAAGAAAGTTTAAGACGCATCCTTTCATACTATCTAACATGATCACTTTCAGAACAACCTGGGCGTGAATCTATAAAGCTGGAGTTAACACAAAAAGGAAATCAACAAAGAGATTCTAGGTATCTCAACAATTAGACTATATAAGCAGTTATTCAACTAACACATACCATCCAGTTCAACTTATATTAAGAGTAGCATAAATGTGTAGAAGACCAATTAGGATTCACAGCGGGGCTTGCAAAATTAGAATCTGAATAACATATGGCAGGTGTGGATGCATAGATGCTTTGTCTGTGAAAGGAATACAAACTCATTAAAGCTATTTCAGTTGATGTGATTCCTAAAGCCAGAGGATTGTACGGCTACTAAAATGAAACAAACTACCAAATATAATGGACAACAGACATCAATTTATGCTTGCAGAGAAAAGTTACATGTTTCACAGAGATAAAGCAGAAACAAAAAACAATGATACGCATATCAACAGAATGTACCCCTATTACAACAAATCTGAAGTTTAAGAAAATAAAAATAAAAAACATATGCCCAAGATCCAAAGAAGGGAAAAAA